GTTCTCACCGTCGTTGCGGCTCTCGCCCAGCGGGCTGTTGCTGTCGGCGTTTCGGGCACCCCCGTCGGCTTCGCCGCCTCCGCTACCGGCGGTGGTTCTGCCACTCCCGTCTACCCGTCCACCACCGATGAGCTGGTCTCATACCTCGGTGATGATGAGGCTCGTGTCATCGTTTTGAGCAAGACTTTTGACTTCACTGACACTGAGGGAACCACTACTGCCACGGGATGTGCTCCATGGGGAACTGCCTCAGGCTGCCAGGTGGCCATCAACAAGGATGACTGGTGCACGAACTACGAGTCCTCCGCTCCCTCTGTCTCTGTGACCTACGACAACGCTGGCTCTCTCGGTATCACCGTTGGATCCAACAAGTCCCTGATCGGCGAGGGCACCTCTGGTGTCATCAAGGGCAAGGGTCTCCGCATGGTCAGCGGCGTCTCCAACATTATCATCCAGAACATCGCTGTCACGGACATCAACCCCAAGTACGTCTGGGGTGGTGATGCCATCACCCTTGACGACGCGGACCTTGTCTGGATTGATCACGTTACCGTAAGTTTATCTTATCTTATATCTAATCTCTTGATCTGACTTTCCCACCTAACCTTATTGTGGTAGACTGCTCGCATTGGTCGTCAGCACTACGTCCTCGGTACCTCCGCCGACAACCGCGTCTCCATCACCAACAACTACATCGATGGTGAATCCGACTATTCCGCAACGTGCGATTCCCACCACTATTGGAATGTCTATCTCGATGGTTCCAGCGATAAGGTGACCTTCTCCGGTAACTATTTGTACAAGACCAGCGGTCGTGCCCCTAAGGTCCAGGACAACACCTACCTCCACATTTACAACAACTACTGGAACGACAACTCTGGCCACGCCTTCGAGATCGGCTCCGGCGGCTACGTTCTTGCCGAGGGTAACTACTTTGAGGATGTGGACACCGTCCTCGAGTCCAGCTCCTTCGAGGGTGTCCTCTTCTCCTCCGACAGCGCGTCCTCCACCTGCTCCTCCTACATCGGCCGCTCCTGCGTCGCCAACTCCAACGGCGGTGACCTCACTGGCACCTCTACTAGTGCCCTCAACGCCTTCAAGGACGAGACTCTCCCTACCCCCACCGCTGCTGGCACCGGCCCTGCCTCCAGCGCCGGTCAGGGCAACCTGTAAACGGTTGCAACCATTCCCATGGACTTTTGGAGGGGTTCGTGCTCGTGTGGATCGAATCCGATAGTATCTGCTGTTACGAAGCAGAACTGTGTTGAGTTAGCTTCTATCTTAGCCTAATAGATAATATAATTCTGAGATAGAAACGTTGCTTTGACAGTGGTAATTTTGTCGGCGGTCCCGAGGCCTCCGACAGCCGGGGCCGCTCACCGCCCGCCGCGCATATTGCTATTCCTCTCAGGTAGCCTTAATAACGCGGTTATGAGGACGACCGCGATCGAGCACAGCGGTGGGAACACCAGTTCGCTGGAGAGCAACGGCGGCAGGCGAAGCGGCGAGAGCGGAGGGCGACATGGACATGGACATCATGGGCCCGGGCCCGCGGCGGCGTCTCATAGCGCAGCAGTGGCTTCCTCGCCGCCCACGGGCCGGATGGGGGAGCACGGGGAGGTCGCAGGCTACGAGGGCCAGCTGCAGATCCAGAAGGTGATGGAGGTGGAGGTGAGGGTGGAGTGATCCATCCTCCCGTTGGATGCTACTTCAGTACTCTCCTTTGTTTTCCGTTTGTTTTCCTTTTCCTATCTTAATGTAGACGGAGATGCCCCAAAAGCCATCTGTTATGTAGGCTAGGGCTATCTTACCTCAGAACTATCAGTTATGAAGAATGTGACTAATGCTACGACTATAATCAATCACTCAAAGATCTGGCCACCAACCAACCCTTGGCACCCCCTGCTCACAAAACCACTTATAATTACCCTAAGGCTTAGCATTGTTAACCTCCGAGCGTCAGTTTGAAAAAAAAGTCTCAGTTTCCAAGCAATCGCATTCGGTAAATGTACAAGACTAGTGCGGAGTGTGAAAAGCAAAGCCTCCACCCACCCCCGTTTTGCTCTTGAATACACTACCAAGCCCCCACATGAGTACACAAAGCCCAAGATAGCGGACTCTGGCAGTGCCTGCGTGAAAGTACATCGGGTTTCCGAGAATCATTCGGAGACATATGTGCTAAACTAGCCTCTAATCGAAAGGTTTTCCTGTTGCTCAGTGATCGCGTCGTTCTTTTCGGTCGACTTGGCTGGTTCAGATTGCCTTGGTATCTGCCCAGAAGAAGTAAGGTTCCTTCGTATTGAATTTTCATCCACGTCCGGAGGTTTGAATATTATTTTGCTGGGGGTGCTATGCCTTTGAGCACTGCACCCTGCGATAGACTCAACATCTCGCACATTCACTATGTCGTTTATGACTTTGTGTCAGTCTACGTTTACGATGCTGTCTGTCCCTGTGGCCAACCCCTCCACCTCGTTTAAGGGAAGTGGCGAATCTCTCGACGAGTTGTGGCAGACGGACCGACTGCTAGCTGCTTAGCACCCTTGCCCCTCCTTGACCTTAAGGTTTTGTAAGAGTACTGAACAGAAAGGAGGAAGTTTAGATAGTCACTGACGGTTTAGTTACTTAAAAAGGATGGTTCTTATCGGCGTTCCTGCGTAATCCGGCCACGGGATGTGAGCGCGGTGACCAGACTGCTGCCGGCTGAGAACGCGGCACCCCCCGGCCTACTCAGGCAGATTAGCAGCAACACCTTAAGACAATACATTGACACTCTTGGTCTCGCGAAAGGCACTTGTTCATCCCATTATTCCAAACTCTAGCCCTTATACTGAGTCCGGGCACGAGGCCATTTCTCCTTGTGCACGTAATATTCGCACACGTGGGGCATTAGAAAAGCCCGCAGAATTACAGAGAGCCGCGAAGATAGGAGGACTGCTAAAGCCAAAAGATGCAGTTTGCCTCTCAGAACTGTTTGGCTGCCCAGCGCCATATATCCCAGTCCTTGCTTCCAGACTTCACAGTTATGTAGCAGCAAAGTGATCAGCTCAGGGTCACTGCCATTTTTAGGGTTGTTCACATCGAACGCCAGCTTATATAATTGCCAGGGAAGTCCCAGAATGGGACTCTCCAATGTCGACCATGAATCGTTGCTAGAAATCCGAGACCCAAGCTCCAGTTGGATACTAGGCCATAGAGTCTCTTCGATAAGATTCAGGTCAGATCCATCCAGTGCAGGCAAAGTCATCTGCGTTAAGCAGACTTGATGGATGATGGTTCGCATAGGATACGCTGGAAGAGAAGACTATTTCGGGATCGGCAGATCGATTTGCTCAAGTGCTTCATGCGGAACTGGAAGATGCGACAGGCTCCCAGAATATGGCATCTGTGATCAGCCGATACTGCTTTGCCCCATGACTTTGGTCGGAAGAAATATGAGTTCATCTGACCAAGAAAATAGTAATATTCTTTTCACGTACCCCTGCTAAACAAAGCAATATCACATTGACAGCAAGTAAATCCAATGTCGCTTCATCCAAAGCACTACCCAGCTGGACAAGCTTCAGGTTCTCCTGAAGATGGACAATAGACTGGCTGTAATACGGAAGTGCTCTTGCGCTGAACAGCGCATCCTGAGTCGACATGAAAAGAACACCACAAGTCAGGAGTGCTGTCATCACGCCAATATTATGGCATGCAATCCCGACAATATAGTTTCGTACCTTGCCATACTCAGAGTGTGCGGTAGGTAGATCCAGTAGAGGCAAGAAGACGCCGATGGCCTGGTGCAGAATATTTGCTTCTGGCTGATCCCTGGCCGCAAAAGCCCCGTCAAGTCCACCCGGCGGGTTCTGGGTCACTGCACTTGGAAACTGAGCGTCTCGACGGCGGCGATCTCTGCTCTCCAGGACTTGGACGTCAGGCCAGATGCATGGTACGTCGGCTTTGGCACATGAACTGCACTGGGGCTTCTGAGCATTGCACTTCTTCGCCTGCTGTCGGCCTGGGTCACGTGATCCATAAGCTGTAACGATCCGGTATCGCTAATACAGGAGGGGCGGCCGTACATCTCAAACATCCCGTCTTAGTACGGAACTTCGGTTTTTGTGACTTAAGTCCCATCCCTTGCGTTTGGCTAACGGGGCAGCGGTGTTTGGGGAAAAGGTGAAAGGGTGGAGGTCAGGCTTATTGCAAATGGTGTCCACAAGATATAACACCGGCCGAGTGTGCAGGGTAGCTTGGAGCCACTTACTCGGTTCGGTGCGATACGATTGTCGTTTTTGCCCCTGTCATCGATCCACCGCCTTCCGTCTCTCTTGTACCGCTTCCTATCCAGGTATCATCTGAGGTTCATTAGCAAATGAACTCAGAGAACGAACATAAAGCCGGCAGATCTGAAATTAATAATCAAATCTCCACTGACAATCGTACACGACCTGACTGAGTATACGCGAGAGTGATCCTACTGGGGTATCTGGGGGCCGCTAGCGGTAAACCATCTGATTGGATCGTCCACTTGCCGGAATTCCCCCGCTTCTTGATACGTGAAAGTGTAAATGGATTCCAAGTTATCCCGCTAGCATTCTGCAAGTCCACTGCCAGGCATATATAAATGGGGGCACATAGGTCACATTCACATAGTCGAGATCTTCAACCAAAGGCAGTCTTCTTTTCCTGGGCTGATTGGCGCCGCGATGCCTCTCTTGGCCCAAGTGACGCTGGGATATGTATCGGAGAGCTACCCACTGTTGGCCGCGGAAGCCACAACCGGCATGATTCTGATTCGCAACATCATCGGATGTGGAATGACCTTTGCGATCTTCCCGTGGATTCAGGCCAGCGGCCTCTAGTGGTGCTTCGTGGAAGTGGGCCTGATTGCATTGCTGATTAATGTGTCGGTTGGGCTGATGATCTGGAAGGGGAAACGACTTCGGCAGAAGACGGCCTCCGTTTACTACGAAGCCCTGGGAGTAGAATCATAGATGAATTAGTACCTTCTGCCAAGAATCAAACCCAGATTGGTATATTCTCAGAACACACAATCATAATAAGAAAAAACACAAAGAAAACTAAGTACGCAAGAACAGCGGATAGCTGTGTATGCAGGCCTTCCAATCCCTGGTGCAACTGGACTATGCAGCTTCGCCCCCGATGCAGGAGGTCCCACCTGAGGGAGCTCTAGCCTTTTGGCAACAGAGGTACCGCCCTCTCGTTGGAGTTACGATATACGTATCGAGGCACTGGTACTCTTCATGCCTGTTCACGGTTTGCTTAAATGCGAGATTGAGTTTCAGCCCCGGAGTAGCGCCCCCAGTTACAACGCTGGCGATGGGCGCCCCCAGCTTGAGTAAAGTAGATCTGTCGGCGTGGGCGGCGGTCTGCCAGACGAAGTTGGCGGCAATAGTATAGTAGACTGACATACGGATTAGGAAGAGAAGTAGGCTGTGGCCGTTTAAAGGGTTAGCGAGGTGGTCGAGGGAGGGGATAATATGGCCTAGGGTAATCGAGGGTGCAGTTTCAGGTGCAGTTTCAGGGTTGGACGTGGTGATGCTACCCGGGAAGCGGTGGCCGGAGAGTAGGGCTTCCTCCGGGGGAGCCGGGTAGTCGGTTTGACGGAGGGTGAACCACACTTTGTCCATCTCGAGACTAAAAAAATCAAACAGAAGAACGGACAAGCAAGATAAGAAGCAGATACGAAAGTGTGAGCAAGATATTGGAGTTGAAAGTGAGACCAAATGAAAGAAGAGGTAGGCATTTTTATGTAGAGAGAGGCCAAAGAGTACGCGCCGTCTTCTGTATGAGAAGGTGTGACCTATTGGTGCGCGCTTAGATGTATAGTATACCAGTTCGCAGAAGTCTCTCTCGCCATGGGGGTTATCATCTCGCTGCGACCTTCAATAATGCGTATTTCCTTCGAGAAAGGTATTGTTTGGATCGAAGTTGTCCATATCTGGTGTGGAAAGCTTATGTGTAGAGATGCACTGAAAGTGAAGGAAAGGGTTCGCGGTCAGATTTACAGTGACATGACACTTTTTGGGAACAAAATGGGCATCGTAAGAGCAGGTCACAATGCTGACGTGGCCATGCGTGCAGTACGTACAAAGTAGCACCGTAAGGCGGCTACAGCATCCACCCGTCTCACTAGTGCTTCTCGCATTTAGGGCAAGGCTGACATGACTCGTGACCACTTCCCCCGGTTCTCCCGCCCCATACTATGATAGATTGAGAAAATAAAAGGCTATTTTTATCCATAGGTTACTGTACCAAGAACTGGCGCCTCAGTTAAGATTTGCTCTCTTGAGCTCTGATAAAGCATGATTGATCTGAACCCCACTTCTGCTTGTCAAGTTGGTAGTTTGGCGGCATGAAACTATTCAAATGGAAAATCAAGGTTCATACACTCTACTAGGTATACATGTCGTCCAGCTAGAGTATACTCTCGTCCCAATTCCAGCGACTGAAATAAACTGACGATACTACCTACAAGTCATTGCATTCCGGGACGGGGGCGTACAATCTCTGCGCGTGGATTTAGTAGCCCTGCTGCGCAAAGCCCGAAGCACACATCATGCGATATTCTATGGGTCATAGCCGAAGCCCAACAATGCTGAGTACATATGTCACTCCATGCCATTGGGATCCTCTTCTTGAAATTTCCGGTAAGCCTCATTCCGTAGCCCATTACGTGCTGAATCACTGGGGGCGTGACGCGCCCAATCGACAGTTTTACATTTCATTTGAGCGCTAGCCAAATCTCTGTGTGTACTGGGCAGGCGGGCACACTTCGTGGCCTCGGTTTGACGAAACTTGTTTGGTTCCTTGCTGGAACACCCTCTGGAAGCGAACGTCGACCCGGACTCCTGCTAAGCTGATTCTGGTAGCTTAGCAGCCAAGTGGCCTCGTGCAGAAGCATCCTGTAGCGTGTTTAACCCTCCGGACAATTTGGAGGTGGCTTTTAGATCGCGAAGTCTAGAAGGTCTCGCCTGTTGCGGATGTGTTAGTCGAGAGCGCGAGCGGTATCGGGATACAGGTAGAGCTACGGGGATGGAATTCACATCTTCCTGGCCTGCGTTGCCTTTACTGCCGCCGCTGCAGTGCCCAAGACCGCTGCCAAGGCAGTGAAGAGGCATGTATTTTCAGTGTCCGATGATGCTGGCTGAATGATTACGAAATAAAATAGCAGTTGCCAAAGTGAGATCTATACAGATGCAGCTCTAGCGGGCGTTGGGCGGCATTCGAGGGAACCTTCCCGACTCTGGCAAAGGGCTTCCAGGCAAACCCACCACATTCACTAGATTGCTAGCACTCTGCCCTGCCACCCCCGCTCATTGCTCCGACACGCGCAATCTACTGCGAACTGTCTCTGAGAAGCTCTTGCATTAGCGCGGTTGACTCTCCGAATGGGGTCCAATCAAGTACGCCTGATGCCCGTTTCCCCTCATTCCGGCAGCTGACACGTCGACAGCTGAAGTTTGAGGTATGCAGGCATTAGAAATTCTGTGACAAGAAATGTAGATTGGGTTATGTTGTTGTGAAAAAAAATTCTATATCGCCATAACAGTGCCGTTCACAGTAGTCACATCGAATAGAACATTTTGACCATAGCTAAGACTAGGCAGTAAGGTTAGATGAGAGTTAGGGTTCGTGGGCCGAGCTCGAGCCCGGACCCGCGCGTAGATCAGCTTAGAATTAGAGGGGTTCTTGTTCGGTTGAGAACAGTTCACGGCTTCAGAGCTTCAGATGGGCGTTTTCGGGTCTTATTCTTCTCTTACCATGAGTATAAGTTCTCTGACTGAGCCCTCACCCTGATGATACTATACAAACTATCGAGATTTCACAGTACACAAAGCTAACAGACTTCTGATCTAGTTGACAAGCTCTATAGGCTGTCCTCAAACGGGGAGAATGACTCGATGGTGAAGCACCCGAAATTTGCAAAGTATCCAATAATAGTTACATAATCTTCTTCTTTTCCCGAAACAACTGCCCTGTGATCAACTAAGTGAAGTTCTTGGCAAGGCGTAAAGTAGTCGATCATGGAAGTGGAGGTAAGCCAGGGTCAGGTTCCTACCCCGCTTAACAGCCACTGGCTGCCTCGTCCCAGCAGTTTGGAACACCACGCCGTTTGCTGCCAGCGCACACCAGCCGCCCGGTGTGTTCCACGGATACGCATAACATTCGCGGCCTTGTTTGCAGGGCTAGAGAGTGACGTGTCACTGGATTCTGGGGGTCTCTGTGTACTGTACTTTCCTCATCCATTCAGTCTGACCTCCCTCGGGTAGGCTATTAAACCGACACAGAACCGCTTCTTCTTCATCAACCGCCTTCTCATCTACACCATTGGACTGACGCCAACTGACAAAGAGAATGGTCAAGAGAAACGGGATGCACCGCAAGAAGATGGAAAGTAACCGGCAGCCGAAGCTGGAGCCGAAGTGTGAGCCGGAGTGTGAGCCGGAGCAACCACCTCTCCAAGACAACGAGACAGACGAGGCCCTCAGCATTCCAGTACTGTCAGAATATCCTCAGCGAGATGAGAGGTAAGCCCGATGAGATTGGACTCTATGCCTTGATGGCCCATGCTTCATATTTCCTTATCACCCTCATTACTCCTACCTTTTCTCTTTCCGGTATTGATATTCTCTTCTGTTGTTCTCGTGATTTCCTCTTCCATGCAAGATGGCTCTAACAGCAACAGTCCCTACCAGACCGCCCCGATCACACTCAAAGTAAAGAACGAATACTACACCATTCTTCAATACTACCTGCGTCCTTACGCTCGACTCGAGTGCAATCCATCCGACGTCTACCGAAGACCCAGGACATATAACGATTGGTCAGGCTGGACTGGGGGCGAAACTTTTCATTTGGAGCTGGCCATCGAACCCCGAGCCGCCCATAGCTTCATCCACTACCTCTCCACAGGTAAATATGAGACGCTTTACAGCCCGTTTCCATCCATCGAGACTGCTGCCGAGGCGTCCAGCATCCTACGCGCCCGCAACAATGAGGAGTTTTTACGCGCAATGCACAGCTACGCTGCGGCGGTGCGGTACGAGATTTTCGAGCTACAGGAGCTGGCCAGGTACTTCTTGGAGATATTTGCCGATCGGCTGCCTCCGGAGGATATCTTAAGAGTGACAAGCGAGGTATATGATATTCTTGGCGAGGAGAAACCGATCCGTGCTTGGCTTGAAGGGTTTGTTCGGGGGCGTTTGGAGCTCGCGTTTATGAATGAGGAAGTGTCTCTACGACATATTATCCGGGATTATGGCATTGGGAAGCAGGCGAGCTTTGACCGCTTCATCATCGATGAGACGCTCGGCATTTTCGAGAGGGAGAGAGAGGAGGCCAGTCAATTCATTGCTGGACTGGATGAGCCGGCGCCAGTGACTGAGCCGGAACCAGAGTCTGAGTTCCTGCCTGTACCCGAGCTTGAACCTGTCCCAGAAGCGGAGCTTGAGGTCGAGGTAGACGACGGTCCTATGCCAGAGCCTGCGCCAGAGCCTGCGCCAGAGCCGGAGGCTCTATCTGAGCTGGAGTCACAACCGCTCATGGATTCGGAGATCAAACCTGAAACTGAACCTTCGTTGTGGGAACTCCAACCAGCACTACAGCCAGTACAAGAACCTGAACCAGAAGCTTCAGTCGCAATGCCGCCTCTGGAAGAAAACGATTGGAGTGCTTGGGGCATGCGCAGAAGTCGGAAGACAAAAAAGAGGAACAAGAAGGCTCAGAATGGGCAAGAGCCGGTCGAAGAGACGCTGCAGCCTGTAGCTGAGCCGAACCCAGAAGTGGTTGCTGATGAGCACATTTTGTAGACTCCTGAAGGAGATGTATCGTTGATTTGTCGACTTGATCATCTTTTTCAGCTTCCTCATCGTGTCGTTGATTTTCATTTTCTGGCCTCGTAGTAATACAAGCTGTCTAAGTGTCGCACATATCTGCAGACCGTCTTATCTAGTCAACTGGTTCCACTTGATTATCTTGACCAAGTACCAGATATGTACTCGCCGTGCTAACTTTTGACTGTACTGACTCATGTGAGATCACGCAACCGCAACTGCCGAGTCCGAGACCCAAACTGGGCGTAGTTTGCGAGCCAAGCTCGGGTTTTATGGGCATCCCCGCGCTCAAGAAAGGCGTTTCGTGCGGGACTATCTTTTCTAGGAGTAGTTACCAAGTTGTATTCCCGGGCCTGCGGAGTTGGTTTCTGCAGATAGTAATGGGGGCCGGGTATCCCGCTAAGTCTCCAAATCCTCCGAGCTTATCTTCTTGTCTGTTGCATCACTACGCGTCGCCTGCATAGAATGAGAAGAAAGACAGCGGGCAATCCAAGATCCTCAGAATAAGATACTTCTCATATCTTCCTTGGTTCCTTACATATTGCTCAATCGATAAGAGATGAGACTTTAGATTATTCAGACGCTGAGCCTTGCCTTTCTAACAGAGCCTGCATATCCTGATGCCTCGGATCTTTCGACTCGGAAGAGTAATCCGTGGAAAATCGATACTATAACACCCCAGGGCTATTTTTTAATACTGCAGAGATATAACAACATTCTGTCCAGCAGATACAATCTATTAATCTGCTGCGCGCCCTACTACGATACATCTAATACATTTCACAAGGTACTACAGTTTCCAGAAGTACACGTCTTATACTTTACAGTAAGAATTATTATATAAACTACATATAAAGCACTACTTTTAATTATATTTCTAGGTATACTTTTTTCAGTCTCTCAGATTATCTTCAGTAGCCTAACAGCTGACCGTCGTAGCCGTCTCTAGGAAATATATAAAATATAAAACCTTATACATCTTTCTCCGCCAGTTTTAAATTTCTACTAACTATTATCTATCTTATTCCCCTTCTATCTTAAAAATCCTAAAACTTAAGATATACCTTTCTTTACTACTAAAAGCTTAGTCCCTCTAGTTCTAAATATCTTCTTCATAGCCGGGGTGTAGGTGAATTTCCTAGGCGTTATATAAGTTAGGCTCTCCCCATCTATATTACCACTTCTCACCGCTATAGTTCTCGATACTTTTTTTCTCTTGTAGCAATTCTATGGACGTACTTTTGCTTTATGTTTGAGACGCGGGCCAAGCTAGGGGGTGTGTTAGCGATTCTCGCCTGGCTGCCGCTCACTACCCACCTCGGTGGCCTTGGCTACTTCCTTTCAGGTAGCCCGCTGTGGTCAGAATCCACCATCAACCCACGTCCTTGAAAACGTAGTCATTGAGTGTAGAATCAACTGGCATGTGGTCACCCCCGCATATGTCTCAACACTAGTGCAGCATCGAGTCTTGGCAAGGAGGCAGTGCAGCCCAACAAGTGGCCCTCAGCCACGTTCCTGCTTCAACGCGGACTTTTCTTCTTATTTCACCCATAATCTCGTATCATAATGCCTCACTGCTATTGCATTGGAATATTCCCAAGCTTGGTGACTTCAGTTGCTGTCTTCTTTAACGCAGTAACTACTCAGATCAATCGCTAACTAAGCTCACCCCCAATATTGAATCATGTCTCATCAGATAACGCAGGATAACGCCAGCAATTCTCATGTCCCTCAACCCGGAACCCTCACGCGCGTGTCCATCGTCCTATCTGCAGCTAGCACCTGACATACCCGGACAAGATCCTGCATGGACGCCAGGGTAAGCGGATGGGATTTGCCAAGGACTTTCTCGCGGCCGCGCGCCGCCCGCTCCGCCAGGGCCTCGGCCTCCTTCCACCGGCCCTGCGACTGATAGATCACCCCTAGATTGGCAACGGTGGTCAGACAATGGGGATGGCTGTCCCCAAGCGCCTTCTGCATGCCCCGCAACGCCTGCGCCGTGAGTGCCTCCGCCTCCCGCGTGCGCCCCTGACTCTGGAAGGTCAACCCCAACTCCGCCATGGCCGTCAGACAGAGGGGATGCAGATCGCCCAGCTGCTGCTTCATAGCGGCGACGGCCCGCGCCCCAAGGCTGGCCGCCTCGTCCAGTCGTCCCTGCAGCCGCCAGGTGGTCGCCAGGTTGACCATGGCCATGAACGTCTGCGGATGATCGCCGCCCAGCCCATCCTGGCTCCTCTCCACCACCTGCGCCTCCAGCTGCTCTGCCTCCTCAAACCGGCCCAGATCCCGATAGATGGCCGCCAGGTTCGCCATCGACGTGAGACACAGCGGGTGCTGCACCCCTAAACTCGTGACCCTCGCGTCCAGAACTTCGGATTCCAGCTTCTCGGCGTCTTCCAACCGCCCCTGCTCCCGGAAGGTGACCGACAGGTTGGACTTGTAGGTCAGGGTGGACCCGTGGCGGGCGCCGAGCACGCGCGCGCTACGCTCGATGACGCTCTGCTCGAGGCGGGCGGCGTCGTCGTACCGGCCCATATACGTGTACGTGGTCGCGAGGTTGCTCATGGAGGTCATCGTGGACGGGTGATCGGGTCCCAGGGTTTTCGTCTTCAAGTCGAGGAGTTGCTTCTCCAGCGCCTCGGCCTGTCGCAGGTGGCCCTTGTTGCGATACGCCGACGCCAGGTTGGACATGGACGCCATGGTCTGCGGACTGTCCATGCCCAGCACCGCCTGGCGGGCCTCGACCACGCGCCGCCCCAGCTCGATGGCCTCGCTCCATCGGCCCTGTCCGCAGTAGGCGGATACGAGATTATGCATGGCGGTCAGAGTGGCCGAGTTGTCCGGTCCCAACAGCGCCTTTCGGGTGTCTACGACCACATTGCCCACGTCTACGGCCGCGCTCCACTGCCCTTGCTCTAGGAAGGTGAGGACTAGGGCTCCGAAGCGCACGAGGGCCGCACTCGGGTCATCCGGATCCTGCTGCAGGACTTGGTCCACCACCGCCTCCACCTGGCTTGCGGTCTCTATTTGTTTGTGGGTGTGGTATCGTTTTGCGAGATTTCGGAAGGTGTTTGCTATCGAGGTTGAGGAAATGTCTTCCATCTATTTGGGGGCTTCGAGGAGTGGTTCGGCGGATGGTGGGGGTGGAAGAGCGATTCGGGCAGGAGAAGCCGACCGTCGCGCGAGGGGAATCGACCGGGCGGAAACGGGGTATCCGGGGAGGAAAGGACAAGGACGTCAAGGTGATGGGATTAAACTGGGTCTAAGCTTGTAGAGAGGGATGGATCGGGGACGGCTTGAGCGGGTCGGGGTCGGTGAGCGATGCACAGTGAGAGGAAACCTTGGAGGAGGGATGAAGAGAGAATGATGGTGATGATGATGATGCAGCCCAGTGGGACAAGAATGACTTCCCCCCTTGGTCTGATTAGAAGCGGGAGAACTGGAGAAAGACCGACACCGATAATCTCTTGCCAAGACGCTAGGCAGTAGGGCTGTGGACAACTCTCATCGATTGGATTGATTGAGCACCGTTGCTTTATCGGACCTCCGGTCTTGAGTTGCATCCTGCTTGCCTTCACCCACCCTACTTCTCACCGTCTCCGGTGCCATAGTAGCAGAAGTCGCTGATTATGCAAGACTGCCCATGCGCTCGACGGTATGAAGTGCAACATGGGAGAAGACATGGGAGAATCAACGGAAGATGTCTTGCAGAGCCTGCCAAGTCAAGGCCGTAACAAACAGCCGGATATCCGGAGGAGGGCAGGCAGTGACGGCAGTTCGCCTTACCGACGGTTAATTCAGCCCTGGACAAAAATAGTATCCCCGCCCGAATTACCGTTCCGTGACAGCCCGTATTGTCACCAGGGTTTTGGTTCGAGCTTAGGGTAACTTATGTAAACCAGCTTCGATCGGACATTAATCGACGAAGATACCTCTTCTTCTCTTCTTCTTCCTAAACCTGCTTCGAATCCATCGGCTGCCGCTGCAGCAAACGCCATGGCCTCTTCGAATGACACTCAGCCCTCCTTCGGAGACGAATTCGACCCATTGCTTAAGAATCACTCCCAGTCGCCCTCGAAATCCGATCCCGGCCGCCCCCTTACTCACAACCCCCAAGCAGCTCGTCGCCAACTGCCAACGGCCGTCCGATCTGGGGCCTACCTACCGATATGCTTCCTCCCACTGGCACTTGTGGCCGGATATTCTCAATGGAACCCAGTCCTCGTCTTCCTCTATAACCTTTTCGCCATCATCGCTCTGTCGGCTATCATCTCCGACTCCTCGCAACAGCTGACAACCCATACGAGCGACCTGACAGGTGCACTGATCAACACGGTGCCCCGCAAAGCAGTCGGGCTGAGCGTGAGTCCACCTGTACTACTGCGTTCATCGCCGATGAATAAGCTAATATACCATTGCAGTTAGGAGCCTGGGCCGTTGCCAGCCGCGAGATCTACGTGGCGCAAAGCCTGGCCATCGGGGCCATCCTGTCTGAGATCCTGCTCGTAAGCACCGTCTCCCTCAACCACCGACAACACGCTCTTACATTCTGTTCCTAACCGTACCTCCCGAACCAGATCCTGGGATGTAGCATGATCGCCGCCTCCTACCGCACCGACATCCTCTACTTCAACCAGCCGATCACCAACACCCTCTCCTCCCTCATGCTCGCAATCTCCACGGTCCTCGTGCTCCCCTCCGTGCTGGCCACAAGCTTCCCCTACGAACTCGGTGACCGCACCGTGGCCTTCTCGCGGGGCGTATCCGCGGTGTTGCTGTGCGTGTACGCGGGATACCTGTATTTCCAGCTCGGAACGCACCGGCATCTCTTTCCGCAGCAACCGCGTACGGAAAACCCGGATGGTGCGCATGGGGAAGCCGACACCGCCCACGAACTGCCACGCACCGTATCGGGCAAAGCGAAAGCCCTCCTGATACTGACACTCGCGACCGTGGCTACAATCATTTGCTCCAAGTTCCTCGCCGACACCCTGGTCATAACGGCGGCACGACTCCACCTCAGCAAGACCCTGGTGGCCGCTACGCTTGTCCCGCTCGCGACCACGGGCGCCACCGGCGTGTCGATGATTCGCGGCAGTGCGGCGAGCCAGGATGTCGATGGCGCGGTGTGTGCGGTCGTGCAGAGCGTGGTGCATGTGGGGTTGTTCGGGATGCCGGCGCTCGTGCTATTGGGGTGGGCGTTGGCCAAGCCGATGAGTTTGGTGTTTGATGTGTTTGAGGTGGTGGTGCTGTTCTTTTCGGTGCTGCTGGTGAACGGGGTGCTGCGTGGGGGGAGATATAGTGTTGTGCATGGGGTGGCGTTGGTTGCTATGTGAGTCTCCTTTCTACATTTGTGAGTGATTGAGCGGTGGACGTGGTTGTAGCTGACTTGTGACTTCTATCTAGGTATGCAATCCTTACGCTGGCATTTTGTGTTCGCTAGCGGTAGGTTTCTTGGGTACAAGGGCTGAGTTGGGAAAGCGATTTGTCGATGTGGTTTACCTTTTCTGGACATAAATAGTATTGATATACACTGCATGATGACTATATTATAAAAGCAACAAATGTGAATCCAAACGTACTGCTTGCTGTGAGGGCGAGAGTGCAGGATGGGATTTTACTTCGGAGAGTCTGCTAAACCGAGCCCGCACATATGACGTGACCGTCCTCCAACCTCAGCCTTTCCCTCACGCAAGTGAAATACAAAATACCACTTAAGGGGCATCTTTACCCTCGACAAGAAACCTTGGAAGAGGACGACCGACGGAATTCACCCCTCCCTCAGCCTTACAGGGCTGGGTGGCAGCTTGTCATTGGTGCTTGCCCGGCCGACCGCGTAGGCACCGACATTCCTGGGCCAATGGGCGCGGGACGTGCGGTTCTAGGGCTCCACTATGCTCGCTCTGATACAGGTTTGTTTGGATGCTCCGGTATGGGTTGTATCGGGATTACAAGAGGTGTATGGAACGGTATTGAGGGTGTTGTTTTGATTAGCACGTGTTCCGTGCAGTCCGGGCCCCTCTTAAGGCTGAGTGCGTAGGTCTACTTGGTATGTAGGAGAGGAGCGTTGGCAGGATATTAAAGGTTCTGTGTTACTGAGGATAACCTAATAATTTCTAGGTGATTGTAGGATAATGGCTCAATCCTGTGTTTAGCGATTCACTCCTGAAAAGGGTTTCTTTTGTTTCTAAATTTTATCACAACATGAGACCTACGAGAGAAAGGAAAGACGGAGAGGAAGAAACCATAATCGAAACACCAGATCTACATCATAGACCTGGCTAGATGAGTTAGATTGCTAGGTAATAAACGGCTATGCGAACAAGAAACCAGTTCTTGGTTCTACAACCAAGGTCAAAAACCCCCGATCAACAGGGCAGCTCACGGCCTCCACTTCTCCAACCACCGGCGCCGCCGCCTATAATTCTTGGCAGGCTCCCCCTCCGCTGGGGGCATCCTCTCCTGCAACCGCCGCCACAAAGCCGCGAAGACAGTCAAGGAGACATATGAATCCTCCCTGCGCCTCAGGAACTGCAAGAAGACACACGGGACATTCGGCTGCTGGCACGGCGGGCACGCGGCCATCGCCGCGGCCATCTTGTCCAGCTCGTTGTCCCAGTGCGCCTCGATCTCATGCCCGACGTTGCGGACCACCAGGAACACCAGCGCCGCCGCGTAGACGTGCGGCTTCAGCATGTATACCGGGTGGTACGTGGAGGCCAGGTCGGCGGGCCCGCGTCCCGGTCCGCCCCGGTGCGCGGTGGCGCGCGGCGTGGGCAGGAGCGAGTCGCAGGTGCACATATACAGGGAGTCCCCGTCGTCGCCGCCGCGTTCCTGCAGGCGCGGGATCCACCACAGGAGTCGGGACTTGCGGTACAGGTGCAGGTGGTGTTTGTCGTTGACGATGAAGTGCGCGTCTGGGATGAGGGTGCCCTTTGGTCGCGGGTGCGGGTGCCAGGGGCAGGGGGGTGCGGTGCGTGTGCTGGTGGCGTCGTTAGGGTCCGGTGCTTGACAGCAGAAGTCCAGTCCTTCGGGTAGGGTGGACAGGGCTTCTACGGCGACGGCGAAGAACTCGTCTTCGATGACGTAGTCCGCACTGGTGATTGTTAGCTGCAGGCCCAGGTAGCCGAAGACGGAGTCGCCCCAGATGACGTGGGGGATGTGCAAATCGTCCAGGATGTAGGATGTCTTGGCTTCGGTGGATGCTAGCCAGACGTGGGTGTAGGGCTCACTGCGGCGTGGCGCCGTCGAGTCCATGGTGCTTGGTTATGTGTTTTGTGGTTGACCTGATGTGCTGTGTTGAGCGATGTTTGTCGGCAGTTGTGGCCAGCCTGCTGGTGATTCTGCTCTATCTTTTGGAAAGCAATCATCATGACTCTTATAGGTGCCGTGGCTTTGTGCATGGGGACATGGTGGATTGAAATTGTCTTTCAGTTAACCAGACTAGATGGAGATTCTTTCAATTGTTGGTGGACTGAGTGAGCTCTTCATTTGGTTTGAAAGGACGATGAGTTGTTTGACGGCAATTCTCGTGAAAGCAAGTCGTCCTTGTCTCTGTCTGTTGATGTCACAGAGAGAATCTGCATTCTTCCATGCATCACAGCTGACTTCGAAAGCAGTCCTTTTTCTGTGGACCCAGACTGGTGACTATCCCAATCGAGGGTAAGTAAACCAAGGCCTGGCAAAACATTTCATGATAACTTTAGATGCCACTACTATACCATGTCTGATCGACGGATCTATCCGCGACATAAAATTTAGTCTCTGTTGCACCCTATGCCTATACGGGAGTTCTCCACATGATTATGCTTTGCAGCACAGTCGAAGTCAATGCTCCCTAGGGCAGCGCATTGCACCCAATCTCCCAAATGCATAACGACAGGACCGGATCCACTCACACTCTCACAATCGGATGATCTGCAGCTGCCATTCCACTCCGCAAACCCAATTCTCCTCTTGACTCAGAAAAAGGTACACAATAACCTCTCAAGCTATGTATACATTGGACAACCGCATGGTTGACATGACCGATGGATCGCCGATACATCTCCGCCACGAGGCTTGGCGTGGCTCTATCTCGGGATTTGATCGGGTTGCCGATTTTTCCCCTTCGTTCCCCTTTCGCCCCCCTCGCGGCTTTTGTCCTGACCCAAGCGGATGGCACAACGCACACTCAAATCCCCCCCATCAAAACCCACGTTGTCGGTTCTCCCCCTCATTGCCGCCCCACTTCCGGTTTTCTTCATGCTGAATAAAGCAGACCGAGCCTCCACGGTCCAAGCCCGCCATGGAAAAATTTTCTCTCTTCCCCTCACAGGATTGTAACTCCCCCTCACGGGCAACAATTGAGTCAGGCAATTTTGAAAGTAGAATTGGAGTAGAAATGCTGGTGGTCAAGAATATATACGTCCTCAATGTCTCAATTAACAGGGATGGATCGAGACCTGTTCTAAGTGGTATATGCAAGCGTGCTGTCGGTGTAGGACAAATTAAATGCCAGTGATCTGCATTGTGACTTGGGTCTAGCAGGGATATTCCATATACCAATCAGGTTCATGCATTCAGGTCGATTGGATCTGCATTTTCTTTTGTGGAGAGTTGCAGGTCACGTGCAGTGAATGCACCTATACATCTCACCGGCGTCAAATGAGTTCTCCCACGGCAATTGATGCAGTCGAAGAGGGCAAAGATGGATTCGACACCTCTTTGGGGAAGTCTGATCATGTCGACCCTGAACACCCTCAAAACTGGGCCATGGCCAAGAAGGTCCGGACGATCATCATCCTCGGCCTCATGAACATCTTGGGTACGGCGGCCAGCAGTATCTTGAGTCCGGGGCAAAAAGAGATTATGCGAGAATTCAACATCGACCAAGAAGTCGCTATCCTCACGACAACATTATTCCTCGTGGTATGGTTCTGCTCCCATGATATATCGATGCGTTGGGGAAACTGACCGCAAATTAGGGCTACATCTTCGGCTTTCTCACCTTCGGACCTTTGTCCGAGAAGTTCGGCCGCAAATGGCCGCTGATCATCGGAGTCACCGTCTCCTCGCTCTTCGAGCTGATGCCCGCCTTGGGCAACAACATCACCACCATCCTCCTCGGGCGCTTTTTCGCCGGATTGTTCGGAATCTCTCCCGTGGCGGTGATGGGGGGAGTCGTCAGCGACTGCTTTGCCACGGCGCAGCGGGGCACCGCAATGGCGATCGCGGTCGGACTGATGTTCTCGGGCCCGACGTTCGGCCCCGTATTCGGGGGCTTCATCGTGGCTTCCTCGCTGCACTGGCGGTGGACGATGTGGGTGATTATCATCTGCGGGCTGGGCCTGTCGCTCATTGCTGTGCTGCTGTTCCCAGAGACATATCCCCCGATCGTCCTTGATAGAGCAGCAGCAGCAGCAGCCGAAAAAAAAGACCTTGAAAGCCCCAGCATCGACAAACCACTGGATGTCTCCGCGGAGAAGGAGAGCTTGACCCTCGCGCAGGTCGCGAGACTCTATCTCATCCGACCTTTCTGTAGGTTCCCGTTTACCTCTACAACAGCACAACCCTCACTAACACGACGCAGGGCTAATCTCCACCCAACCCATTCTCTTCCTTCTGACCCTCTATCAATCCATCCTCTACGGCATCCTCTACCTCTTCTACCAATCCTACCCCTACACCTACGGCGACCTCCGCGGCTGGCGCACGGGGCTCAACACCCTCCCGTTACTGGGGATCAACGTCGGCGTCGCCCTCGGCGCCCTCGCGATGATCCTCTACAACGCCCTCTACTTCCGACACCACTGCCACGACCCGTCCACCGGCAAATTCATCCCGGAATCCCGCTTACCGCCGATGATGCTCGGCGCGATCTTCATTCCTGTGGGCATGTTCTGGTACGCCTGGACGGCCAGCCCGGCCATCTACTGGGCGAGTTCCGTCTGCTCCAATCTCTTCATCGGGTGCGGGATGTACCTACTGTTCATCCAAGGGTTTAGCTATATTGTGGACTGCTACACGGCGATGGCGAACAGTGCGCTGGGGGTCAATGGCGCCATGCGCAGTGTGTTTGCGGCTTCGTTTCCGCTGTTCGCGAGTCAGATGCTGCACGGGTTGGGGGTGGCAGAGGCGACGACGGTACTTGGGGCGGTGTGTGTGGTGTTGGTGCCGGTGCCGGTGTGCTTTTGGTACTGGGGCGGGAGGTTAAGGGTTTGGTCGGAGGGGAGGGTGTTCGGTGGGTAGATTAGTCCTCGGTTGTGGGGATCTTGTGAAGGTCTTGGTGGTCGGAGTGAGAGTTCAGGTTTCCGTGTTGGACGGGTTGTCCATTCATCTTCTTTCTTTCGAGTTTTCTTGCGATGCATTGCATACTGGATTTTAGAATATACCCCTCTTAGACTAAAGAAAAGTAATTGCTGGTTGCAATTTTTTAATACCCAGTTTTCATGAGAGCTATACAGATGGCAAGGTCGTTAGCGGGAAGAGATGTATCTTTCATGGCAATGGGCATCAATTTCAAATCTACGTACAAGCTATTTGCCCACCAGGTGATAAGCTCTCATCCCAGCATGCTGTTGAAGCAAGACTCCTGTCTATCTAGCGTGACATCGGCCCTATTGTCGGACATCTAGAGCGGGGGGTTTATGAATCACACAGCCCATCCCCGCTACGTAGAAATAGCTAGTGACGTACTCTACCTAGCAAATCTGACAGACGGGATAACAGGGTGGAGTCGAACGGGAATGAGCCTCGGGATCTATGTGGGCTCTGTGCGAATCCCGTCATTAACCCGGGAGGTCTTGTCAACCAAACCCCGTCGGGCATCGAAAGACAATATCCTGTATTCAAAGTATACACTGCCCGGAAGCGGGAGGCGATCGCTGCGCCGAAGCTTAGGGTCGCGGCTTTGGCCAACACAAACACCAGTGCAAAGTCAATTGGGAGCGCGTATTTGTCGGACAGCATTAATACTGAATGCGCTGAATGCACTACGGCTACCCAGTCTCTGGAAAGGAATTAAAGGGACGTCCGACGGATATTGCTTTTGTATGTAAATGATTGGCGTGCAGGTACATGATCCAAGCTCCAAGCTTAAAAAGTAGGGCCTCTGTTCAATCAATCTTGTCCAGGTCCATGGCCAGCGCCTGGCGACCATTGAGCTGCAGGCTTTGGTAGTTCTTGTTGATCTTGGCCTGCCTCTCGGCCATTTTCCGGTACACCTCCGTGGCCACCACAGTGACGAGCTTGGAGGAGCCCTTGGCCTCGAAGATCGCCTTTTGGATGTCCAGCCTTTCCCAGATTATCTGAGGCTTATTGTACCATTTCTGTTGCGAGAACCAGTAGAGCATCTTTCTCTGGGTCTGTTTCTCCTTGCCCTCCAACAGTGGCCGGTCGGTCTTGAAGTCGAAACTGTATGACTCCATCTGGTCGCAGGCGCTCTTGCCGGTGGGGTCTTCCTTCTCATCCCCTGGATCGAGCTTGTACTTTCTCCTCCACTCGCATATATTCGACGGCTTTTTGAGCCAGGGACTCAGATTCTCCCACAAGTCGTGCAGGGCGATCAGACGCTCGGTGTCCGTGTCGATAAGGTAGGTAAGGCCTTTGGAGAAGGTTTTCTGAGGTCAGACCGAGTTAGTAATCATGGAAACAAGCAGAACAGTGGGATTGAGCAGGGGAGGGAGAATCGGCATTCTGCCTTTAGCCTCGTACCGGGTGCAGGGTCAAGTAATAGAGGTCGGCGAAATGATAGTTCAGCCACTCTCCGTAGTAGCCGATGTTCCGCAGGTGCTCCAGGTACAGCCGCTGCAAAAAATCTCCCACCGATCGTCCTCCTCCGAGTAGTTCGTGAATAGCGGCGCCGGCCATCGCCGCAGCTCCTCGGAGTTGTTTTGCATGATTCTTTCCTGCTCATCATCGTCGAACAGCTTGAACTCCTCGGGCATGCGCTTGAAGGCAATGACATAGTCCGTGAGCATTTCGGCGACCTGCTGAACGGCCTCCGGAGAAGGCTTCTCCTTGCCCTCCGAAGGTTGGTAACTCTCGTTGATCACCGCCGTAGTCTCCGCAGTCAGCATAGCCTTGCGCTCCTTGGGCAGCGCGGCCGTCATATCTTTGAGCTTCTTCTCGATCGCAAGCCAGCGCGCCCATTCGTCGTCCTTCCATTTGACATGGTCCGGCATTGTGCCCGGGCCCTTGAACTCGGCTTCCTTTTCGGCCAGCCGCTTCTCGTATGCCCGCCAGTCATCGTCTGAGGGGACATTGCGGCGCATTTGCCACTGGCCCATGATTACGGTTGCGTTCGAAATCGACTGATAAAGATTGCAGGAGACGAGGAAAAAGGAAGGAGTATGAGAATGAGGTGTTTCGTTGGTCTGCAGGTATGAAATTGACGACTCGGGTGTTCTTTGGTGATGGCTTTATAGATCCCGATCAGTAGGTAGTGATCAGGTCCCTCCGTCTGTCTTGTCTTGATTCCCGTCGAACAATCGCAGCTACTAATTCCGAGCGGGGCCGAAGAATGGGGGTAGAATCGATCTGGACATGATCAGAGACGCTGTCTTGTGTGCTGGCACCAAACGGAGAACGCGACCAAGCTCATCTCGCAATCATCTTCCGAGCATCTTCTCCGGATTGGCTCAGAGATCATGCACTTAATCTGAAAGATGCGGAGTATTTGCTGCAGATCCGACTATCTCACCCCACGCAGGAAAAAGACCCGGACCTCATAGGCTGAGGGCGGATGATCTGCATGATGGGGGTCCACAGGACTCCTCATAGTGCTACACGTATCTTGTGCACTAAGTATGTGTCGTGACCAAGGTGGGGGCTCTGGGGACCAACTGCGATGGCAACCGAGCGGTCAACCTCATGAGAAGGACGGTCTTGAGGCTGCAACGCGCAAGTGTAGGCTACCAGGATTGGAAGAGAGATATTTGCAGTCCCTGGCGGCTGGACGAGGCCCTGAGGGCAAGGAGACTCTCGGAAATGCCATCGTCCGGCCCGCGGGCGGGGGATCCATCCCTCACCGATCGATCGGATCGGATCGATCCGATTAAATCGCGCTTGGTCGGGTGGGGTATGGGACACCACCTTATCTCTCCGTTTACCCTTTTGGGTAGAGGTGTAGCCGACCTCGGAGAGATGAAGACTAGAAAGGAGCGGTAAGCGTGGCTAGGTGCTCTACTATACATGTCCACGAGGATTTGTAGCCGATGGGGTTAGTGGCGAAATTCTGCGATCACTTACACATGTAACATTATCTGTCGCTTTTGTCCAGGATAACTTAGGTCACATGGCCCCAGGTTTCAGCGATCATGAGGGACTTCTCCAGTGGCGATAAGACCGGCAGACTGAGATCGCGTCGTCAAAGTTGCAATTACGATGCTAGAGCGTTCGTCCATGCAGGCTCGAGTCAAGCGGGCCTCGAGGTCCTGTGAGGTCCTGACACGTCAGCTAATCGGGGTTTGGTGCGGCATATGCATGTGCTAGTTGCCAGCTCATCCTGCCTCTTTACCACTCTTCACGGAGTCTTGGTCGTGCACTATAATTTCTATCTTCTTACCTCGTATCTACGCCCCTGACTAGATGGAAACAGACTCGGATCCCGCACGGTCTACAAATACACAACCTCGGCTTTGAATCCGGAGGTTATTATCCATACGAATTCCTGCCAGCCACAGAAAAAAGAGGCTGTTTCACCAAGTGAGCTGGCCATATCTATTTTCTGTTCTCGCTTGAACCCACTCAAGCACTACCCCGTAGGTACCATGGGGTTTCGAACAATTGGAGGAGATTGATAGCCTATAAGCAGGCATAGGAAACAGGAATAGACCTCCCAGCACACCGAGTGGGGTCCCTAAGGATTAGACATAATACTTTACAGAGCACGCTAATTGTCTTTCCCAGTCGAAGCTATTGCTCCTGGAATACTTATGATCTAGAGGGATTGAAAGAATAGACTTTGGATCAGGAGGCTAAAGGGCGACTGCACAGGAAGCCATAGTGGATTTAAAGAGGTAAGGAACGCGTGCTCGCTGATTGCGTTACGCACAACCAACGTTAAGTAGAAAATCCCCGACCGGGGCTCACGTCTGAAGCTTTCGGCTGAGGTAGATTAACACTATTTCAGCATCATAGCAACGCTGCAACAATTTCCGACAGATTTCACCTCCAAGGGTGCTCTCAAGACCCAGTGATATGCACAATTTGAATGTCACATGGCCTGACTGGGGCCTACGAAAGAGAGATCGCGATGTGGACAGTCAACCATAGCCCGCGCTCCGTCAGTGCTTGGGCATGGCAATCCCCCACTTCAAGCTCGACCATGTTCACTGCCATCTTCAGACCAAGCGGCTTTCTCACCCTGAGATCCCAACCATGTCTGCTTCACCAATTTCTTCCGCCAAGAGTTGAGTAATAAAGCACATCTACTGCAATCAGCATACACACCACTACAAGTAGGCGCAAGAACTCACGCAACCACAGAACAGGCCCACCCAAGCCAAGCAAACGCCACGGCCGCGATGGACGCGGCATCCTTTCGATATTCCAGGGGGACCCCGTCGCTATGGGCAGCCTCATCCAAGTATATAGTCACACGCGGCCCGACACTATCCCCGAACGACACCACCTTCGTTGCCGTGATAATGGTCAAGGCGATCGCATTAGCGAAGCCGATGAGACTTGGAACGACCGAGCACACGATCAGGACTCGGTAGGCAATGGTGCACCGAAGCACTTGCATGATGAGTATAATGAGAAGGATCAAGGATGACAGAAAGCTCGAGCATATGCTGTAACTAGCTTCCCCGATGTAGGCATTGTCGTGGATTTCGGCTTTGGGGACGAGACCCAGAAGGTAGCTGCGTTGGTTGAGGTACTCTGCTAACGTGGCCGCTCCAAGCGCAAAGGTGGCGATGTTGAAGGTAATGGCTAAGATCAGGACCAGAGCTGTGAGTCGGCTCATTGTCGCTTGAGGCGAGGAAGATAAACAGACCTATTTGCTGCTTGGAGAGAAGATTGGGGCCGCAGTTGGGAAGAGACGCGGTTTTAAGGGACCCGCGGCAAAGCCTTCTCTGGGTGATCGGAGATACGCCGCCGTGCATTTCTAGCGTCGGAGCAATTTCTTCTGATGTATAGCTTTAGCTTGACGGACTAGCGATCATAACGTCCAGAACTTTATGAAAGATGGCATTTGAGTGCCTCGACATGGTCCGACCGTCCCGCATGTTATCAAGAATAAATTGCCACAAGCGCCATATGTTCTTGAGATAAATGAGGTTGAGACCGGTGATAATCGAGCGAGATAACAATCTAACTCCTTTCTACATTTTTGGCCGCGGAAATACCACGCTGCCAACCAGTCAAGCAATCAATCCACCGGACTAAAAGTTAGGGTTCCCTCGCAAACCGCCCCCAAATTCGGCAATCGAGCCCCGCTGCGGACTAACCAGCAGCGGGTTTACTCTCCACAATGAGCCGGGCCGACACCTTTGACCCTACAGGCTCATTGGCGAGAATGAGAGTAGAGATAAGATGACATGCGCTACGTAGAATCACATGGCTTCCATAGGTCTGGAAAAACGAATTTCTCGCTATAGAGAATGGCAATGCATTCGAGTCGGTGAATGGTACGACCAGATCCCAGGTGCCACACCGAGCTGATGTATATTTACAATAATCGGACAATTCATTTAAAGGAGAAGAGCAGTTGTGAATATATATGGAGATCTTGTTAGCACCCATAATGCAGGATTTCAGCTGATGAGAAACCCCAGAAGACTGCTAGGACCCGCCCTTGTTTATTCGAAGGCTACGTGCGCAACAAGATGGACCCTTCAATCCCAGGACTGACCCAGATCCGCGAGAAAGCTATCAATGGACATCGGAGAGCCCTCCACAATGACAAAGCCTTGCTCAGGAAGTACTGACGTGGAGGGGATAGAAAGCCAGGCATGATCAGGGGCGCAAACCCCAGCACTCGCTGTAGCTTGCTGCACCGACGCAAAGCATCCCGGACAAAGATCTGCTGCGCAGACCCGACATTTGTTGCAGGGAGCGGAACTGTCATATTCTTGCTTACAGACATCACAGAACCACGCCCACGGAAGAAGCCAGTCATCTGGAAGCGTGGACTCGCGGCTGTCTTGTGGTGCATCGCGGATTGCGTGAAACAGAGAAATAGCGTTGGCGTCGTCATCCGCCGCGACCAGAATGGTGAATAGCTTGTAGAAGGCATCTGCTCGCCAAGCGGGGTCAATGTCTTCGAGACGAGCGAGGGAAATCTTGATATACCCCCGGAAGTACGGCCGTGCCTGCTCTGCGTCGCCATGACCCAGGTGCCAGCGTCCCAAGTATAGGCCGGCTTGGTTCTCGATGGAAGTGTCGCGGGTGAGGGGTACCTCCCTCAACCATCTGGCTAGATTGGTGACTTCGTGCAAGAAGGCTCCGGTGTCTTTGGGGTCTTTCAAAGCATCCATATAGAGTTGGTATGCATAGGATGACTCGGTGACTGACCTCGACTGGGTCATCTCCCAGTGACCGTCCATGTCCACGCGGGGCAGACTGAGAATCTGCCTCCATATAGCCTTAGCCTTGTGGGGTTCGTTCATGAATCGACTATACAGTTGGGCCAAGCAGACGTCGAGAGAAACGACAACGGTAGACCGCAGATCCTGCAACGCAGCTGCCCTCGCGTGTCGATATCGATCCGCCAGCCATTCTAAGGCCCCCATGGCGTGGGCAGCGGTTGCACAGGCCTCGATAAAGCGACTGTCCGCCCTCCTGTACTGGATGAGGCAGTCATTCAAAATCGTCTCAGTATAGTGTTCAGGTTCACGGTCCATCGACCTCAGCAAGCGCATTATTTCCCCATAATTTCTATATGGGGGCATGGTGAGTTGGTAAACTAGTGCTTCGGCAAGTTTGCGAATCCGAATGCTGTAGGATCCCAACTGCAAGCACGAGTGGAGCCATGTTGCAGCATCGAGACAATCGCCTTGTTCAAAATACAACTCCGACAGAGTCAATCGCAGCCTTGACAGGCTGTATGGCGACACCAGCATGTCAAGATCGGAGTCCTCATGGTCGGGCTCCTGCTGTTCGAGAAGTGACTTCGTGTACAGTTTCTCGGTTTCGAAGTATATGTCGATTGCTTCGCTGCGCTTGTGTTGTTTCAGGTAAATTCGAGCAATGTCCAAACTGGCAGCGACTGATTTCGGTTGCAGGCTCAGCGACATCTCCGCGTAATGTTTTGCATCGTCCAGATGCCCTAAATTGGAGAGGCAGTTTCCGACCATTTCATGCCACAGCGCGTCTTCTTCCAGCTTCGTCCATCGAGCGACCTCAATCACGATCTCTGTACTGGGCGTCTCGTGCATGATCTTCACATCGCCGTCTTCGGAGATGGTTTTGACCGCCCACACGAGACGGAAGCACTCTGACGCAGACCAGGCGCTCTCCTTTAGCCAACCCTCGGCGGCATATTTAGCCATGACTGAGAAGATGCCGCCCGGCTTTTGACGACAGGATGACAGCCATTCTGTAATCTCGTCATCTCTTTGGTCGGCTGAACACGATGTATCATTCAAGAGACTTTCGATGAAGTGGTAATCCCCAGAAGCGAAGAACTCCCAGTCATCCGGGTTCAGCCAATGTACGCAGTCAGGAGCTGACAGTAGTCTGCGGAATAAAGGTCTCATCTCGCGCTTGCTGTGT